GCGTCTACAAGATTCAAGATGGAGATTATTACAAGCTCGCGTTATTTCGTAAATAGTAAAGAGGAAGTATTGCAACCCTGGATCGGAAATTTGTGATTCTTCGACAAAAAACTTATTGTCGGGCCCTCGACGCGAAAGTGGATAAATCTTCTTTGTGTTTGTAGTAATTATTTTCTCCCACACGTAGTCAGAATCCCCGTTTTGTTAGTCCTCGATACAGAAATATCGATTGCAGGAACAATGTGCATCTGCTACCAACGCTAGCGCCTGAACCGTTCAGCCTATTTTCCCAAAAACATCCAGCTACCAGAACGAACTGGGGGCACTGCGAGTTTGATTTTTCTGACAGTTTACAATAAATCTCAACATTTTTCTTAAAAATGCTCTATTTTTTTAAATTAAACTTTATTCTCGGCGTTTAAAAACGCTTAAAACAATGGCAAATATCTAATTTTTGTTGAAATCCTTCCCGCAACTACAACATTGAAGAGAGTTTATTTCCTGAATGAAATCTGTCGTTCAAACGCAAGATTTTGAAACATGGTCATGTACAATTTCTTGCAAAAACGAGTAGTTTCCGCGTAATTTTTGCTTGAAATAAAGGCAATGTATAAAAAAACGTGTTTCTAAAAATCCGCTCTTTTTTTTCCCCCTCGAACACAATTTAAAAACGACAGTCCTCATTCGCATTGAATTCTGGATATTCGAAAAGTTCAAGTTACTAATAATACAAGGTATGTGCTAATGTGGCATCACTGGTTTCCATATAAAATGTCTTATGAGTTTATCAGGGTTTATGAGTATATGTATGTAAGCAATGTAATGAATTGAATCAAATTATTGAAATATAACGAAAAGGTCTTCATCTATTGTGAAAAATATTACTAAGAAACGTATGTTTGTTCTTTAGCAATGTTGCACTACCCTCTTTTTTTAATTTGTATACAATCTTCACAAACAAAGTGAAGCCCATTATCCTTGCCAAAAGCATTCCTTGTACTATGACCCTCTCATATCACTATACATCAGGTGTACTTTACCGAATACTTCAAAGAGACTTCATGCAACATGGCATTAATCCAGCCACTTTAACATGAATCAAGTGTGTGGAGCAAGCTAGACTAGCCATTCACTGAGATCGCAGAACAAACCCAGAATTCTTCTGGATTAATTCCCTGCTGTGACAGCTAGCTTGAAGGCACATTGTACTGCAAAACAGCAGTCTAAAGTATGTTATGAGAGGGGGAAGGAGTTGGCAAGTGGACTTTTGCGTCATAGTAATTTACATAAAGCATTTTAGCCAGGAAGCACAAATAATGAAAAAAAAAATTTCATGGCTTAGGATGTGCTATTTTCAATCATTCTATTATTTTCTTTACAGGAAAAACTACTTTAGTTCACAAATTCATGCACCAGATGAATTTGTTCAACTAGTGATACTATTGTGTACTCTGAACAAATGCATTTAAAAAATACATATTCTTCAGCAACCCTGCCATAACATCTCTGTTTGGGGGGAAAAAAATTGTTCTGAAAAAGAAAATTAAAACACAAAACCACACTGATTAGTAACCTAACATACAAAATTATATTCTAGCAATTCTGTAAGATGCAAAGTACTAATATGAAATAAGTAGTCAATCCCTGATGAATAGAGAGAACAGATTCAATTACATTAATAATACTATTGTTAAAACATGCTTCTGACCTACAGTGTGGTAAATGCAGATGACAAATATGAAACACCTTTTCATAAAGCAGTTTCTGTGCATATTATTAGTGTTCTTTAAAACAACACACGATTATTTTTAACATACCATATTTAACCAACCTTAACTCTGTATTTGAACATTCCATTCATTGAAATCCAGTTACAATAGTGAATTCTTCAATTGTATCTTATTAAAAATATTGTCTTGGTAAACTAACATTTGGTAAAACATTAAAAAATAATTTTTCATAGAGTAATGTAAAAAGACATTAATTACAAGCATTAATATATATTTGGTCTATTCACATTTTCAAAATGTCATGAACCTTCAAGGCAAATATTTTTTTATTTTTTTTAAACACATTTTTTCAACTTTCCCTCTCCAATGAAGTTAGAATTTGGAGAAAGGTTGGAAAACAAACTAAAAATTTAAACCTTAAACTACATGAATTTCAAATAACAATTGTAAAATTATGTACAGCACTTGGCATTGACATTTATTTTTTGATCTGCCTGCAAATTACCTACATCCTGCACAGCTATTGTAAGGCCAGTTATTTCTTAAAACAATAATTGAGAAATTGTAAGTTTGTGCTCTATAATATAATTAATAACAATATATTTATTAAAGTGGAAATCGTAACTGAAAATTTGGGCAATGCAAAATAGAAATCTCAAATTTCTATATAACACTATTTGATCATGAGAATGAATTAATATCTGAATCATCAGATGAGACCTATGTAAAATGTGGACAAAATTATCACATCTAATTTCAAATGCCATTATTTTGTTAACAGTAAATGGCCATCTGCAGTACCTGAGCTAGTAGTATTTTGCTACTACAGAGGCAAATAATTTTCTCTTGGATTAATTTTGAAATTTGGCTGGGAGTTCAACAGTTTCTAGTACACCTAAAACTAAAAAATCTGAATTCCACCATCAGGGGCAACACATTACATCAGACTACTAAATTTTCTAAGAGACACTAAAGTAAACAAGCAGCAGAGAAGCCAATTGATTCTTCAAAAAAACAAAATAGAGCCAGATTTAAATAGATATTAGAAACTATTGTTTAATAACTATTGAAGAAATATTAATAAAATAGTGTACCCCATAAGAAGTGTGCTTTTATGATAACGTAACTTCAATATTCACTTCTCTACAGCCATGCAAATGAAGCATTAAAAAGAAAATCTCCAAAAATTCTTTTCCATTCATATAACCTCCAATAAGCAAATTTTCTTCTTCAATTTAAATAAATTTTGAGAAAGAATGTTTAAGATGGTGGCAACTTTAATATCTATCACCATCACACAAGTAATAGGTCTGAAAACTAACGGCTAGTAAAACTTGCTTTAAAAACAGATCCCACTATATTTCCAAGAACTTTAATATAGAGGCAATTGCTAAAAGAATGATTTCGAAAATAAATTGTGATGCCGCCTTAAGATTAATTCTTCAAAATACCTCAACACCACAAATCAGTATGTTTAATATAATTATTTTCATAAAAGTAAAAAATTTCAAGATTTTGAAACTAAATAACCAAATTTAATAGAAAGGATAAGTAACCCACTGCACGTATACATCCATTTCAATCTCAGCAATAATTATAACTTGAAAGGCATCAGTTTGACAATGAAAATTATTTTTGATTCATAATAGCTCAAAATTACTAAAAAATAGTTACGACAAAATATTTTTACAAATATCTCTAATACTGCATAAACCAGTAGCAGTATACATTTTTTATTTCATACTACATACCTTGGATTCTGTCCTAACCAACAATTTTATCTTAAAATTAAGATTAGAAATGAAGTTTATCAGTTGCAATATTAATAATAAACAATCTTTGAGTAAGAAGAAAAACTATGCCTTCAAATTTCACAAATCCATTTGAATTAATATATGAGGTGGCCGATCAAAGAATTAGTGAGGACTTCAAAGTTTGTTATGGTCCGATAAGGTTATTTGTAAATCAAATATTTGTTGTTTTTGTAACATCCAACAATATAAACAAAATAAAAACCATTGAAATTTAGTACCCCTAATATTTAGTAAATTACATTTATAAAATTCATGATATTTATAAAATAAAATAAGTTAGTCATTCCTTTCTTTTGAATACATAAACAAAAGAAATCAACAAAGTGAGAACACATTACTGTCTGTTACAGCAAATTAACTAGCACAAAAGGCTACAACTTCTACAGAAATGAAATGTTTTTATAGGATGTACATCAAGTAAAAATCTATAACTGCTAATAACAAAAATATATATACATATATATGTATATATATAATAGGAACAAAATAACACTCCTGAAATTTCAGTCATTTTACTTCTACCCTCTTTCAGAACAAACCCAAAATCACCAAAAGTTAATAATACAAAACAAATCAATAGTGAACCCTAACATCAAAGGTTTCTTCAAAACCAAAAAAAAGGTATAACTGAAGAGCAACAACTAGGCTTATTAATCTCCAAATCCAAATATATAATTTCATTAAATGTCATCCTTTCTTTGAAAGAATTCTGAATCTCATATACTTCCACTAACACATCTACCAAGTGAAATTTTGAATGCCATACATACAAACTTTCTTTGATTTCACATTCATTTAATGTTGTGTTTCAAGGAATATTTTCAGTTAATTCACAAATTTTAAGATTAACTTTTTAGAAATGAAAATGTTCAATTTTCTAGTGTAACTTTTTACATACAATTTACTACTGTGAAGAGAACTAGCAAAGTTTCTGTACACTATCAGTAATTTTACCACACACACATTCCTCTGCAATCAATCACTACATGAATGCAAAGTTATGTTACTGCAAAGTATAACTTCCACTTACAAAGCACCAAATGAAATTCACCTCACTTATGTGCACTTCACAGAATTAATTCAAAAGATCTTGAAGACAGCATAATAAATTTATACTGTTACACCAAAATTTCACATTTCTGACACTTGACAAAAGGTGAGTACAGCTAAGCTTAGAACTGACAGTTCAGTCATCACAACCACATCATTCCTTTACAGCACCACGAATCTTGTCGTCTGCACTATACCACACTCTAGAGAAGAATTCCACAGTAACTGCTAAAATCAGCTCCCAAATACGGTATTTCTAATAAAATAGCAATCCCATTACAAAGGCAATCTATCATCGATTTCGGAATCGAAGTGCCAAAAAACAACTACAGGGGGAGATACTACTTATTTCAACCACAATTTCACACGAAAATAAACACAGCATAAAGCCTACTAGCACTATTACCTGTAATTCTGCTCTATCCACTTCCCATTGCGACCTTTCCATCTCAAATCGGGCCCACTCATGTTGAATGAAATGTAGGATACCAGGGATAGAATATTGTGTTCTTTGGCTGCCTTCCTCGTTTTGCTTATTTCCTATGTTATTTCCACCACTCGAAGGTCCCAACTGTCCGTTATGATTTTGTGAAGGAGAACTATCTTCCATTGTGGGCCCACAGTACGAACTAGGTATCTTCATGACATGGCCGCCATTACACCAAGTCCAAGAAGAACTAACAACACCTGAAGTCAAAAGACCTCTCTTGTGCGATGAGAAATAAATTTAATATCCAACCGTAATTTCCATTGTAGTAATTCAATATTGATGTTGCAAAACAGTAAAAATTCTCAGATAAAGTAATCCTAGAGACATGAATTTCCGTTCTTTTTCATCACACCAAAACACTACTCCTTGTCCTCATCTTCGATGACAGAACAGGCAGGGCTGCCCTGCATTCAGCGTTGCCACCTCGAAATATAATATTAGTTTCATCAATGAGTACAGGAAATCATCTGAAAATTTCAAAAGTTGCAAACAATTCATGATTGTTCATTCTTGCACGTGTTTGCTTACACTGAGTCGTTCAGGATTGTTTATGTAAGGGGGTAAAGATTTAAGTGTTACACAGTGAACATGACACTTCGATACAGTACGAAATTAAATTTCTGTAGCTGAAAGCTGAGCCAACAAGAATAGAATCAGAACGGAAGGAACTTGTCACATTCTCTGATGCAAATTAAACAATGAAAATATAATTATTCGAATTTTTTGGTGATAGTTTCTTTCGACCGTTTCTAGTAGAGAAACATGAAATGTCATATACAATTTAACTAATATACATAATTATGAATTTATCGGCCTCTGGTGTTTTCACTATACTGTAACTTTTATAACCACAAAAAATCTCATGAACATTTGTGTTCGATTCTATTAATTCAATTACTCATATAGAAACGCGCGAGTTACGTGCCATCATGTAGATTAGTCTGTCGCACGTTAATCCATTTACTGACGAGTAGTGACTTCAGTAGTAGAAGTCACTCTCGAGCGCCACATTTAAAATATCAATATTATTCGGGTAAATAGATTGTGGTGCATTTATATTGTGACCATCTATTCATTACAGTAGTCTCAATTTTTGCATTATAAAATATTCATTTTTTAATATTTCATTCAGGTAATGAAAAGATAAAATTTTGATGAATATATAATTATTCACATTATAGCTACTACTACTACTACTGCTACTGCTACTGCTACTGCTACTGCTACTGCTACTGCTACTGCTACTGCTGACTGGCTATGCTACTGGGCTTACTGTACTGCTACTGTACTGACTACGCTACGCTAGCTGCTACTGCTACTGCGGACTGCTTACTTACTGCTTATTTCTACTGCTACTGCTACTGCTACTGTACTGCTACTGCTGACTGCGTAGTGCTACTGCTATGCTGGACTGCTGACTGCTGTACTCTTACTGGGCTAGCTGGCTACAGCTACTAGCTACTGGCTACTGCGTACTGCTACTGCTACTGCTACTGCTACGTTTGCTACTACTACGTGACTGACGTGGACTGACTATACTGACCTGAGCTGACTAGCTACTGGACTAATAATAATGAATAATTTTAAGGTAATAGATAATAATAGATAGTATAAGAAAGGGAAGAGGAAAAGAAAGAGGAAGAAGAGAAGAAGAAGGAAGAAGAAGAATGAGTGCTTTGTAATGGGGGCCAGGTAGGTCTCCAGGTAGGGGGCCGTGGGCTCTTCGGTTTTACGCACTAGAAGTTAGATAGGCAGGGAGTGGATTTAACATTAAAGGGGGACAAGCTGGGTATCATAGAACGTCTGGGAGATGGCAATATTAGGGGGACCATCCCGGGCATACCGCGGGGGATGAGAAAACCCAGGAAATCTCAATCATGAGTGGCGGCTTGAAAAGAGGCCGAAACATGTACTTCATACACAGGAGGAGGAAGTGGAAAGAAAAGGGTGAAAATTAAAGAGAAGAAATAGAACATAAATGAAAAATGAAGAAAAAAAATGCGAAGGAGAAAGAAAAAAAGGAAGAGGGACTAAGACCGGGTTCAGGGGAAGGGTTATAAGAGAAAGAATGGGGGACATTTCTGAGGGGAGAGGGAAGGAGAAGCAAGGAGAGAAGAAAAAAGAAGAATAGACAGGTGGAAAGGGGTAAAATTGGATTCCAGTGACGTCCAGGAAAGCTACATTTGATTTACAATTAAGCACTTTATATAAATATTAAAATAATTTTAGACACCGGAGAAGAAGACAACTACACGTATAAGGTTAATAATATCAGTACATTTAAAATACTAGTATTGGGACAGTATTAAAGAGAACCGACTATAAAAGTTTAATGGGAGGTCTTAACTTCAATGTGTATTTGTATGGCAAGGTATATTGTAAATAGAAGGTTATTGCTGCGGGGTTACAAAATAGAAGGACATTGTATGTGTCGCTGGAGTCAGCGTTTTGGTATATTTTATGTAAACAAATTGTCATTAGATCTCACACGAAAAGAGTAAATTGATTGTTAATAATTTAGATGAGGGTGTGCGAGGAGAATGGGTTTAATTAAGGTGTGCTCCAGTAAGCGTATGGGCATGTGACATTGTTGACTCATATGTGTTTAGACAGCTGGAAGAGTCCGGCGTAGCTAACCGCATCAGTCGGCCGTTGCATGTAAGCATGTGAAGGTCTGTCAAAATAAACGATGAGAGAGAGCGGATATACTATGGTATTTTGCTTACATGACATTGCAACT